GGGCGCAATTCCTGCATTGTGTCTCCAGTGTTGTCCCCTGTAGGGATATAGGTCAGTGAGGGATGTCGTGTCTCCGATGGTTCTTTTAAAGCCCAAAGGCTGCTGGAAGGGCTGGCTGGAGGGACTTGGACTATCTTTGAGGCAGTTGAGGGTGGGGGAGGAGTGTCAATCCTGTAACAAGTGTGTGGCTTCTTTGCAGGCAGACCCAACCCAAACCCACTGTAGACAGATGTGGACGTTGCCTGAGGGGCTTGAAACCAGACAGGGCAAGCCATCACGCTCTTAAGAAGGCCCTGCAAAGGACCCTGCCTCCACACCAAGCCAGCAGCTGCACCACAGGCCACATCTGCATGGAGGAAACTAACCCAATGCCTTGCTCAGTCCCCAGGGCAGAGATAGCCAGGACAGTGCTGCTGGTGTGGGTCTGGCCTCTGCCATCAGCAACAGGGTGAGCATGGGAGATGGGGTTTCCTCAGTGGTCAGAAGAAATAGGAAGAGCTGGCATGTCAGAGAGGTTCAGTGCAGGTGACAAAGGGGAGCTAAGGGAGAAGGGCCAAGGCTGATGGGGGCAGTGCAGCCTCACCGCCCAGGATGTAAAGTATCTAAGACAGGGGCACCCATGCCCCATGGGAAGAGAAGGTCCCCCTATGGAGAGCCTGACCGGAAGGGCAGGGCCCCAGGCCTGGACTGTGCGGGACCTGATAAAGGGCCCCTGCTGTCCAAGGAACAGCATCCCTGTCTGCCCACTGCCATCCTCCTTGTTGGCCTGTCCTGGCTCTTTGCCCAGAAGCAGCTGCTGGTGCCCAGAGCCGGAGCCAGGCCTGGCCCGGGTCTCAGATCTGCTCTAGGCAGCCGGCCAGGGATGTGGACTGGGAAGGCCCTGGGAGACAACTGACAAGCTAAGATCCTGCTAGCTGGCCCTTCCACAGAGCCATGGCCAGGGCGGTTCCAGTGAGGGTGGACAGTTCGGCCACAGTGCCAGAAGACAGCAGCCCCGGGCTTCACACACAGCCTCCTGACCTGCCTCTTTCTCTCCTCCACTGCATGCTGGAAGGCTGCCTGTGTGGGCCGCCCATGGGGAGGCCCAGCAGAGAGAGAGGCTGAGGGACCCCCTTCTCTGACCTGTGGGGATGCAGCAGCCTGGCTCTTTCCTGCTCCCTACCAAGGGCCACTGCTTTTCTCTAGGACCCCTTTCTCTACCTGGTCCCCCAGAACCCAGCAGACATTCCTGCTACACAGGCCTTGGGAGACAGCAGCACCCTGGCCTTTCCCTTGGCTGCCACCTTTGTAAGTAAGCCCCCAACTGAACAGACCTCATTCCCACCCACCCCCCGAGGATCAGCTTTTGGTGAATTGAAATTTCTGTGCACAGCCCACTGCACCCCCTGACTCCTTTGTAAATAGTGCCTGGATCAAAGGAACAACAAATGATCCAAATCGGTGGTGAGGAGGGTGTAGGAGGCCTGGTAGGGATTGATCGAGGGCAATGTAACAGAGAGGAATTACTGAAACCCAAATGAAGGCTGAGCATGATAGGGGGACAAGAGGAAAGTAAAAGGAAATGGAGGAAAGAGCTAGGAGGCAAAGGGTATTTATAGAGGTCTAAATAAAGGCATGTACATATATAAATATATTTATATATGAGAATGGGGAAATCGATCTATGTGCATATATTTGTAGGTTTAGTATTAAGGTGGACATTGGGCCTCTACTCAAATACTCCCTCAATGCAAGAATACTTTGTTCTATTAAACTGGCATTCTATGGTGCTCACCTTCCCGACACAATCGCTGAAGACAAAGCGGGTGAATAA